TCAAGTGCTGCTCATCACAGATGCCACAGGAGCTGTGCACACACTGCTGAACAGACCCCGTCAGCCCCTGAGCTGAGGGTCCTGGCTGGGGCTTTCCATGACAACCATATTTTTTTCATACCATGCCTAGAATAAAGTATGGGCTAAGAAAGGAAAATTTCATGAGGAATAAGGTTTTGGTGGTTTGTTTTTCTTTTTAAGCTTAAACATGTATGATCCAGTGTTTTGTATTTGCAAAAAACATTCCATACGCGAGATATTATTTCCAATCTTATTCTGTTACAAAACATGATGTGAAATATGGACAAGAAAGAAAAAAAGGTACATTATTAACAATTTTAATTGTTTTCTGCACACTGACAGATTATAAATTACTTATCAGCAGTGGTGCAACTGGATGGAGAGGCTGACACCAGCTCATGGCTGCAAATTTTTACAGAAATGTAATTCTAGCAATACAAGTCCTGATCCCAGCTACAGTGTTAAAGCTAAGGAGTTGGTGTGCAAGCATCCTGCTGTCCCTGCCAGCTGAAGGTTCTTGAGCAGTTAGAATCAGCTTCCTGTGACTATCAACTTCACAACAGCTTTTAGTCACAAAAATCATGCAAAGTTAGCTTAATAGCATACAGAAGCAGGTCCAGAATATTTTAATCCCATATTTTTATGACACTAATGCATGTAATATGTCTTGAAAATGTAATAACACTTCAGGCAGCAAACCTGCTGGCTGTGGAAATGCCTTTGACACTTTAAATACTCAGTATCATTAATTCATATGAGGGAAAAAACCCTCAAACCCCTTCTTTAAATTATACAGCAATTCTGAAATTAAAAAACCCAACAAAACAAAAAATAAACCACCAACCCTCTACCCAGACCCCAGATTAATTGAATAAATGCAATCTGTAGCTACATTCTTATGCCAAGCTTCAGTCTGGAACATTTTAGAGCCAAATGACAAGCTCATGAAAACAGGAATTTTAAACAAGAACTGCCATGACTGTCAAGGTAAGAATATGAATGGTAACACGTATTGAACCCTTTTCTGAGCCAATAGTAATGTATCAAAACCAGTCTATAATAAACATTTTAGATAAGGTCTAATAGATAGACATTTGGATTTAATATTTTAGAGATTCAAAGTCATTGAATCAAATTCATTCCTGGTGAAACAAATCTCCCAAATCACTCATGATAAAGCTCTTCCATACAAAGTTCTGTTTGTGAGGGTCTCATTAAGATATTTCCTTACTTTAGCTATGCTGTAAAACTTGCTGTAGCCAAAGATTGATATGGAGAACATCACAGCCTTTCTTTAAATTAGACTTTTACACTGCTGAGTGTCTTCTCTCCTTCTTTCTAAAAAGTTAATGGAAAAATAGGTCCAAAAAAGCTGTTGCAGGTCCTAGAACAGTTCTGAAAGTCATAGCAAACAACTGAAACGTGCAGGCACTTCATTTGCCATGAGAAGAGTTTGGTATGTAACTAATAAAAATACCCCAGATATCACTCACTATAGACAGAAAAGAAAATAAAGCCTGGCCTAAATGGAAAAGAATATGGGAATCAAAACAGATTGGCTAAAGTGAAGAGCACAGAAACGATCAGGAGTTGTATGGAAATAAACCTCAAATGAACATATAGCATTGAGAAAATGAAACATGTAGGACTGAGTTCTTTCCATCCCCAAATTCTGAGTGGATTGGACAAGAAATAACAGACTATATCAGATTAGCTTGGATTCATCTAGGTTTCTTTGATAACTGGTTTTCTAACCCAAAAGGATCTAGACTAGCTGGAGTCCAGGAGAGCAGCACATAGGAGTCCATTAGCTGAGATGAAGAAGGTGAGGACTGAAAAACTAATTGTAAGAGAGCAAGGGAAATGGATTAGTAGAAGATAATGTATCAGCACCAGAAGATTGGAAGGCTAGACAGAAATAGAGACAGAGTAATAGAAACAGAATGAACTTAGTATCATAAAACATCCGGTCTTAATGGCCTAATTAAGAAATCCAACAAACCCACAACTCCTGACATAAAATAGGAGTTCTTCAGTGTAAAAGTGACTGAGAAATATATGGATCTGCAATCTGAATGTAAGATAACAAGCTGCCACAGTGACACCTGTGAAAATAGCAGACATCACCCACTTTATTAAAAGCAGGTAATGCCTGAGGGAAGAATACACAACTTTAAACAGCTTTTACTACAGTATTGGCTATAATTTTGCTCAAATGAAGGGGACTGGTGAAGCCTGACTTCTACTAACAAATGAAAGCAGAGAATGGATAGAAGTCCATTAGTGTCTATAAATACATCACAGGGATAAATGCCAGGAAGGGGAAAGATCTCTTTGTGTGAAAACAGAAGATGCTGGCACAAGAATAAAGCAGCATGAGCTTTCCCTGAATAAACTGAAAATTGGATGTCAACAGAAGGTTTTTAACCAAAGGAATGATTTTTGTGAGTAACAACCTCCCTAAAGGCACAGCAGACCCAGTCCCTTGCTGAGCTCCTTGGGAGCAGTGACAGGAGCCTGCACTGACTGGGAGTATAACTTCCTCACCTCCGGGATCCTCTCCAGTTTTCTTATTACTTCAGTGCAGGTCTGGTGAAAGCCTTGGAGTTGACATAATAAGGCAAGATGTAATAAGGATCTGCAGACAGAAGCTGAATGTGCAGTCTCAGAGATTTACTCGTGTCACTGCAAAAGTATTAGCATTAATCTGCCTGGCACACGAGAACAGTTTTGTAAGACTAATAGGAGATGTATTTGCAAGATCTCTGACTCCCTCAGACTTCTGAAATACAGTATCACAGACACAGCACTGCTACCCAAATTCCTTCTAATACTTCTATCCCAAGTCTAATAACAGGAACTAAAGCTGGGGCACATCAGGGAAGCTCGTTGACATTGACACAAGGCAGAAAGTTGAGAAATACTTTACAGATCTAAAAATAAAACCAAGAAGACATAAGCCAGTGGATTTTTTCCACAGACCTCTTTGTTTTGCTTTCACTGCTTTTTCTTTTTTTTGGGGGGGGGCCAGGGGAGGGGGGGGCAGATGAAGCATGTGTAAGGGAATGGGAATTTGATAAATGGGAGGAGGAATAGTCTAAGTGCCACTAAAGGACACACAGCAGTCAGACGCTCCCACACACCTTGCATTTCTGCTTTTGGCTAAGTTGCCATCCAGACACTCAGTTTCATGTTTTTATTAGAAAATAAGGTAAGTGGATCTTGATTTTTCTGACATAGATGAATGCTACAGTGCAGCTGGTTCAGTCTAGGAGCAGCTCCTTCCAGTCTGCCTTCCCAGCCACAGGAGAGACTTGTTTAACCTTCCCATACCCTGCAAGGGGCTTCCATCCTCATGGCAACTGCCCTGCTGCCCACCCACCTACCTCTGTCCTCTCCCACCTGACTCAACACCCCCTTGACCAGATGGTTTGACCCAGATCCCAAAAAATACCATCAGCACTGGAAATCACACCCTCATCTTCATGAAACAAAGGGGACCCTAGGGCTGCCATTTGAAGTTTAAGGAACTGTGATTTAAAAACAAAGCACAAAGCCCAGCAGTTAGCAATTTGCATAATAATTAAAATTATATGATGTTCTTTACAGAAAAAGCTTCAATATAAACAATATTTAGAGGAATAAAGTATTAATTTGATATGTGATGAGGAATTAGGTGTATCACATGTTTTCAGTTGAAATATGAAAATGATTGGTTTTTGTTATGCAAATATGCAGAATCTCACTTCGGCTAGACAACCGTTTTTGCAACAAATAATCTTAAAAAATAAACTATAAAGAGAATATTCAAATATATTATATTTTTATTATAAAAAAATCCTGTATCTGTGTTACAAAGACAAGATGCTACAAAACTCACTTGATTTTTTCCCCACATCAGGTGCCGTTGCCTTTGGGAGAGGCACATGCTTGCCTGGCACCTCCCACCTCTGCCAGGTGAGCCCTGTCCCTCTTGGAGCCATCCCCCCCAGCACCACTGAATTCACAAGTCCCTCCAATCAGCCACCTCACTGCCCCAAAGTCACTGCACAGCACCCTCTGTGGCTCTCCCTGCCTGCTAATCCGTTCTCAGGGCTGTCCTGTAAGAATTCCCTCAAGGCAAACAGACTGCAGGCAGCCTATCCTGGGCTTAATCCTCTGAACTAGTGGGAAAAACAACCACCATGCTCACCCACTCTGCCTTTTGCCTGTTGTTCTTCAGGGTACAATGACAGGCAGAAACACAGGGAGAAAAATCATTTTCTTGTGCACTTCTTCCTTCCCTTTCTAGATGACCTTTATTTGTGGAGGGGAGCAAACTGCAGTGCAGACTGTCAGAAGAAAACCCCAACAGGGCATTCTTGCAAGGGGACTTTTTTGTTTGGTTTGTTTTTCTCTTAATCAAAGAAAGCTAATTCGCATAGAAAGTGTCTGTTTGCTCTTTGTGTCTGGAAAAACATAAGAATTACAATGTTAACATTTCCAAATGGCAAAAAATGAATTTCAAATAGCTGGCAATGACAATGCTTGATAAACACATGCTGGCTGAAATTCATTTCTCTTTCACACCCACTATGCCTGAACCCCATATTAACCATATGCTTTTGCAGATTAAGTTTAGTTCTGTGCCTAGTTTATAAGCTCCTTTGTTACAATGCAGCTATAATAACCTAAAGTTCCTGAAAATTTAAGCTGAAGGGAAAAATAAAGCTGAGATTTGCAAAATCATACAAGAGACAGAGCATTTGTCCTGTATAATAAAAGCCTGCCAAAACTTCAAGTAAGCATTTAGTAGTGACAGTATTTTGCTATGAATCATACTGTCTGTTGCTGGCTTCAAATCCGTTGATAATTTTGTACTTATTGTACAAATTCTGTGGTTAATATTACAGAAAGTTTAATCACACAGAAATGAAAGCATGATAACATTTCACATTCAATTTCAGCTTCAGCACATGTCAAGAATTCTGAATATGTACCTTGTTTAGAGAATCAGCTTGTGAAGCTGCTGGTTCTTTTTGACTCAGGTGACACTGGCTGCTCTCACCAAGCAGCTGGATCAGATGATGGCCATATGACTTTCCTATTTGTATCAGCTTGTTTAGAGCCCTTTGCATTACATTGCATGGGTTATAATTGTAACTCGCAAACAACTAGGTCCCTAAATCACTCAATTAATTAAAGAAAAAAACTTCCATGCAGTTTAAAAAGATCCTTATATCCAAATGTATTGCACAAATTTGCATGCAGTAAATAAATCTACTACCACATCCAGGATTGTAACTGGGAGTTTTCATCTGAAGCCCACTTCCACTAGGATTCCTCCAGGCTCTTGGAGGGGTTCAGCTGGGTGCTGGCAGAGCCTTCCCTGAGACCTTTCCATCTCAAACCAGAAACAGGCAGCAACACAGAAGAGAAATCACATTTGTAGATTTTGCCCCACTGAAAACTTCTACCACTCCCTTTTAAACTAATTTTCTTGATCCAATTCCCCATGACTCAGGCCTTGCTTATATAATGAGAACATCTTTCTGGCCTGTTGCTTTGGAAGGCAGAAGGAAAAGTGTAAACCTCTTTTCCCTCCTCCCCTTCCCCAAAGCATAACTGTGAGTTTTCTAAGGGAACATTCTTCTTTTGAAAAAATGGATTTTTTTCAAAACTGAAAATTTTTGAAGAGCAGTGTAATTTTGTTGACTCTTCAGACCTCAATTTCTTGCTACTTCAGCTTCCCACAGGCTGAGAAGTGCCAGGGCCTTGGAAGCTGTGGCTGAAGCAGTCTCACCAAAATCCATTGAACTCTGAGCTGATGGTGGGCTCACCAGTCAAACAGCCAAAGTTCTGCGCTACACAGTGAAGCTGCACAATTGGTTTCAGACACTTCTGTTCTACTCCCCCTAGATAACAATGTCTGTTTCTAGGAAATTAAGTTTCACTTTGATGCAGAAGTATTTTTGTTTTTCTCTCTCTACATGGAAATCCCAACACTACAAGATCTTTCATCATCTAAGCAAGCACATAAAGTCATGAAAAGTGATCTGGCTATCTACTCTACAAGGACAAGGCAATAGGGGACCATTTGCTGGAGAAGTCTCTAAATAGAGTCTGAGGTCTTCAAACACCCTTCCCTTCTGCCAGGACAGAAAATCTCAAAGCATCTATAAGGGCTGGGGTGTCTATTTGCTCTGCCTTTCAACAGAAACTGCTGCTGGCATATTAGTCTTCCTATGGAATATATTTCCATGTAAGCTTTTTTTCTCAAAAGTGCAGCATTCCCTGCTCTATATACAACTCACCTAGGATGGCATTGTCAATACCCCAGCATTCCTGACATCATCAGGAAAGAGTTGTAAAGCCACTACTGTCACAGCATATGTTGCAGTTGAGACAGCCATGATACAGAGTACCATAACACAATTCCAGAAAGCTTCAGCCCATACAGAGTAAGAGCCCTCACCACTTCAGAAGGCTGCAAGCATCTGCCCTTCTTGTTCTTTGTCCCAGCCTTTTATCCTCTCATGTTGATGCCCTGCCCCTGTGTGCCCTCTGCTCCCTTTGGTGTTGGTCAGTGCCCCTGGGCACTCCATGGCTCATTGCTGTCAGTGCTGCTCACCTGCTGCTCACAGCTGTGCCCACTGGGCCAGCTCCATCCCAATCACCACAAACTGTGCCTACAATTACAGCTCAACTTTGTTCTGAATACACTTTCAAATGTGACTGTACCACAAACATAGCAGCCTTAGTCAGTGTTCATGAAGGCCACAGGAAACACCCCATCACACCATAACATTCATAGGCAAAACCTGGCTAAATCAGTTTTGTTCCCTGTGTACCAGAAGCTGGACAAGCTAATTTGCACAGCTAGCTTACCTGCACATTCAAAAAGGGACCTGGGCTGAGGGAAGATTCCCTGCCAAGCTCTGATTTGCCTCCCTGCCAGCACAGCCATTATTTCTCTCATTATTTCTGTTACAATAACATCTAAGAGCTCCAGACCTCAATGGAAACCCCACTGTTACCCCATACACAAACACACAGCAAAGACCAGTGCCCTTGTTGCAATGGAGCCTGGCTACTGGGCTTGAAGCAAACAGATAAACACAGCTTTTCCCTCATATATTGATGGTAGCTCCCTGCTGACAAACACAGAATCCTGGGAAATTGAGGTCAGGTCCTCTAGCTGTTTTTACTAAGAAAAGGAGCATATCATGCTGTAGTAAGGTTGAAGACAGAATGCAAGCAAGGAAAAAGAAGTAATCTGGCTTTCCTGCTTATGAACTTGAAGGGATTTCTGAGCACTTCCTCAGGTGTCAGGCTAGTGCTGAGTACTTGTAGGAAGCAGATAATGTGACCTGGCTTTGCTCACGAATCACTGTGCACTGCAGTCAGCCAGCTCTGCCAGAAATGCCATGCACATCCTAGTGGGAGCTTCATGTCCACTTCTGGAGTCCCAAGCTTACTACTGACAATATTACAAAGCAAGACACCTAGGCAACCTTTTGATGTGATTAGAAGGGAGGTGCAGATAGAGCTAAGCGTGAAAGAATGATGAATGTCCACGCTATTTATTTAGTATTGTTACTTCAAAAAATTCTTTGGACATGTTGTCAAAGTTGATCCAGGGAAATACTGTCTTGAGCAGTCCTGAAATTGGCTAAGTGACAAGATCAACTGACAGCAAGGAAAAAGCTTTGAAATGACTGGCAGTATTTAGATAAATAAATAAATATTTAGATAAATAAATAAATATTCTATTTAGAAATAGACTAAATGAACTGTTTTCAGGACAGTTTTAAAGAGCAACACTTGTATATAGACTGGTACAAGTACCTCATCAATACAGAGTCCTTCACCAAGAGCTTTTTTTGCTTAAATAGGATTGCTAAGTTTATTTCACATTCCATGGCTGCTTGTTACCCAAGGCCTTTGCTACAACCACAGAGACAGTCAATATTTCTGCCTGATTACAGCATGTAAGACTTGCCTAAAAGAAACTCTTCTGTGGCAACAAGCTCTGTGAAAATGAAGTGTTGAATCTGCATCAAACATCTGAGTTTAGTAAGAAAACCTGAACCACAGGGCCACATAAAATTTGGGGAAATATTGACCACACTGTGTCTACAACAGTACAGAACCTGTTTAAACCCTTAAGGGAAATCAGCATCTTCCTAAATTAGAGGAACAAGTGTCATCAGGATGGAGCAGAACACTGAAACAGGAATGACTAGGAATTGGAAGGAAAATTGGTGCTCTGCTGCCCAGCTTGCAATTCAGTGGACAATACCACACAATGCCACAGCCCATAGCATTTTGGCTTTATTTTGTCAGTTTGGATCTATCTCAGATCAGAAATTGCCAGGAACAGTTACTTCTTTAACATGAGTCTGGACTTGCCTCTCTACTCAGCACCAGAACACTGATCCTGTGAACACCCCTAACTGCTGAAGATTTTCTAAGTAAATAGTCTTAGCAAAAATAGCCCACAAACCAAAAGTGCTTCTATTTTCCTCGGAAAATACAGTTTTGTTGGAAATTCCATAGCTTTATATTCTGACGTTATTAATTTGAAGCATACAACCTTACAGAGATGCATTTCAAGCTATTAAAAACTATCATATAGCTCAAAAATAATGCTTTTTATGAAATAAATATTATTTTTTCCATAGGGAAAAAAAAGCCCATGATCAAATAAAAAACAAGTGCAAATTTTAAACTTTCAGGATATCCCAGAGATATTCTGTCAGTGGCAAAAACACACACAGAAACTTCAGTCTGCCTCAGGAAGGGCAGGTTGTCTGTAATGTGACATCGTTGCCAGATGCACTTAATGTCTTGGATGCCAGTCAGGTCTGAATAAGTATGAGCAGAAAATTGTACAGTCTTTCATATTCTTTCATCTCCTTACAGGTCAGAGCTGAGACCTGCACTGTCACTTCACAGGCAGTTATCTGCTTTGTGACTGAATAGGGGATTTTATTCTCTAAGATTATCTGTTGGGCACCCTTACAGGCAACAAAGTAAAAACAAAACCCAATCATACAGCCTAACCGTCTTATCAAGGGCATTCATAAAGTGGAACAAAAGCCTGACAGCTCTGCAATGGTTAGTTTTGAAGCAGGCTAGGGTAACTGAGACTTATGGGAATTTGATGCAAATTCTGAACATCTTTTACAGTCCAGCACCACCTGAAGCAGTGGGGCTGGGGAGGGGCAGCTGAAGCTGCTCTGCTCCATGCAGTGCAGTTTCACAACCCCACAGCACCTGAATTCCCAGCCCAGACCCAGCAAGCAGACTTGAGGTGGATTTTGGGGCGCAATGGAGAGGGTTGATGAGCAGTCACAGCGACACTCCCTTCTTGTGCTGGCTGAACCACACCAAGTCCATTGGGCTGACCAGCAGAGCCAACGTGGCCATTCCACACTTGAGCTGCATTCCTCACCAACAGCATCCTTAGGAAGTATTAATTAGTTTTACTTTTAGTGCTGAAGACTGAAAACAATGCTAGAAGATGCCCTCTCTGTTCTGAAAGAACAATAAAATCTCATTCATAAATTTAAGGTTTGATCATAATTTTCTCACATAGATACAGAAGCTATTACAGCAATTTTGACACTTTCAATTTTTATTCTAAAACTTTTCTAAGGGTGGTATTTTTTTCTTAATGTTACTGCATATTTTCTTTCAAAAATATTCTGCCTTTGTTGCTGAGAGAGGAATACTAGCTGATAGTAAGAGAAATTGTTGCCTCCAGACAAATTGGCATTCGCCATTCAAGCAGAAAAATAAATTAAGTACAACATTTAGGCACTCTGCATTAGTTTGTTAAAAAAAATCAACAAAGGGAAAAACAAATGCTATGTCAACTATTGACTGTACAAACCAAATAAATAAGAATTTCTCTGGTACTTGTGCAGCTATGTAATTCACTACATGCTTAAAAGTATGAAGCTTTTAATAGTTTTGTGGAAGTGGCAGTCAACTTTACATTTTTTGGATAGAAATATGTGGCCTTGGTAAGTCCTAAAAACAAC